ACACACACACACACACACACACACACACACACACACACACACACACAAAATACTTAATTACACACATTTGAGTAGATGTAATAAATTACTTTAATTCCTGTTTAAATGCAATTCATCCTGCCATATATGCAGTATCTTCTGACTTTGCCAGCAAATTAAAAGTTGAAGCTTAATCATTAAATTATTATCTTTGTGTTAGATTTATTTATAAATGACATTTAAACACTGCTTGTACCAATTAAATTAAATAAAAAGTAACACACACGTTCTCTATCACTGTCATTAATCAGACAAACAAACAAGCAGCAGCTTCAGCTACCAGAGAGACTGACGTTAACGTTTTCTCACTTGGAAACAGAACAATGTGTTATATTGTAGAGACTCGCCTGCAACACGAGTTGGGAGTGAAACATGTTGTATCAGCTGCAGCTCCTTCCTCCTCCTCGTGACTCCGACATGTTTACGTTTATCATCGTAGTTCTCACGTTTCGTGTCGTCACTTTTCAAAGCTGTATGTTTCAGTTTTTATCTTTGTGAAGTTCTCCCACACTTTGAAGGACTTGGGTCGGAACAGTTTTCGCTGCGTTGGTCATTTGTAAAATTTATTTAATTTCCTTTGAAAACACCGCCTCTGCTCTGCTTCCGCCTCCCCCCTCGCTCAGTTCAACTCGCGCTGCAGAGTTGTTGTTGTTTTTTTTTTTCAAACTTTATTCAGTCAGTCAGCATTGACAATGAACTGCAGGTGAACAAAACAGCTCTGCAGCGCTGTGAAAGACACATAATCGCGCAACACATCGAATTGATAATGAAATCCGTTGCCAACGCTTTTAATCATCGATTTTTATAGATTTTATCGAGTCGTTGTTGCAGCCCTACTATTCTTATTGATCTAGTTATTTTTAGAATCCAGGGATAGGATTCCAAGATGTTGTTTTAATATTCACAGCTGAGTAAACCGTTTAAAACCTCCCTATTTTATTAGAATTGAACCAAGCTTCTTAAATCCATGAATACGAGGCGGTGAAATGATAGTCCAGATTTTTACGTTTTATGTTTTGCGTTAATTAATGATTTTCAGGGGAACTTCGTTATAGCAGAAACCCGTAGTGATTATTCGGTTACATAGCAAAGCCAGTAGTCAAAAGTGCACTTGTTACTTGAAAGGTGTTACTGTTGATTGTTGATTGATGTCCAAGGGGCAAAACAGTCCAATCATGTTGTAATTCCTTTGCTCCAATGAGCTGAACCAAAGAATTATAAATCTGTAAAGCTCTGATGAGCAAAAACAGAAAATTATAAATCCATAAGCTCCATTGAGAAAAAATGTAAATATATTAATACTCACTCTGTTGAGTCAAAGTAAGGTTAGGTGATTAGGTTCAGGGGAAGACTTTTGCTGCTCTGAGACCCCAGAGAACACTCAGAAACCTAAGATTGTTACTGGACTCGATGAGCCGTCAGCCGGCATTTTGAGTTTACCTCGTGTTCCCAGAACCATCCGGAGTGAAATATCCAAAATTAAGTTTAGTTGGAAAAATCAAAAAAGACAAAATCTAAAGTGTGTTCAAAGATTCTATCGTACAAAAGGAAGAAAAAAAATACAAAGGCAACTTCAGAATCCTATAATGCAACAAAAATTAGGAAACTCTCCTAAAATGTATTAATTAAGACTTCCGTCCATCCATCCATTTTCTTTACCCGCTTATTCCATTTTGGGTCACGGGGGTCGCTGGTGCCCATGTCCAGCAATCACTGTGTGAGGGGCGGGGTAC